GAGTGAGAGTGAGTGAGTGAGTGATAATAGAGTGCAGTAGTTACCAGTAGCTGTAATTTAATTTCAAACCAAAGACCGATTTAAAAGTGTATTAAATTCACTGACTTTGTGTTGCAGAATGTTTGGTATGGTGCTGGAGAAAATTGTTATTCCAGAAGTTCAGAAGGTGTCTGGACCAGTCGAGAAAAAGATCTGTGCTGTTGGCATTACAAAGATCCTCACTGAGTGTCCTGCAATGATGGACACGGAGTACACGAAACTCTGGTAAGAAAACATGAAGCTCGAACATTTAAAAACTTTACACAGCAGCAATGCACACTTTTCATTTACACTGCCTGAGATGTCAGGATGCCACAATTGAAGTGGACAGTGGATCATTATATTACAGTAACCCAAAATCAGTTAAACTTCAGGGATGTCAGCTTGTCCAGTTAGGAACTATAAACCGCTCTGAATCCACTTCATCTGCAAAGAGAGCAGGTTCACACTAGGGCTGCCACAAACAATTATTTTGATAGTCGACTAATTGGATCATGCATCCACTGGACATAAAACGTAAAGTTTATTGCACCAGCATGCATCTGCTCTTATGTAACTATCATTAGCTTACAGCTTAAAGTGTTTAAGGTGTGTGCTAACTAAAAAGACTAAAAAGATGATAGTTTATTAAACTTTTAATGAAATTTGCAGATTGTCTCTGTGGAGTTTAATAAACACCGTCTGCTCCTTGCTATCTAAAATATAACAGGACACTGGAGTATATTCTACCATCTCACACTTCTGTTTAATCCCTTCTCTGTTTTCTGTTTATTCAGCTGTGTGAAAATTATAACTTTAATCTCAGCCAACTGTTTTCTCAGTAAAATACTGACACAAGTTATCTAAGTGACTTATACATCATGTTTAACCTGAGTAGCAGAAGACCACGGGGATCTGAAAACAATGTGCCAGGAGTTTGTTCTCGCTGGCTCTAGTGAGGCTTGAACCCCCGGCTAGCTATCGAGCTAGTGGGTAACAGGTGTCTCCGAAAACATCGGCGCACTTGTGCAAAAATCTGATGTCTTAATAAACCAAGCAGATATTTAAAGTTTACACAGCTACATTCTCACCTGAAAATATGTTAAAAGTTTATTTTGTGACCAAGAAAGAGTAATAAGAGTAATGTTAAAACTCAGTAGCTGCCGCCATTGTTGAAAACTGGAATTGGCTGGGCCGCGCTATGAATTCTGGGATAGGGTTGGGCAACGAAGGATACACCCGACCCATCTTTCAAATCTGGGGAAATGAAGGGTGAATTTGGAGGAGTCTTTGAATTTGGACAGCCTTCCTTGCGTCGCTGCAACGTAATCGGCC